CCGCTTCAATGTTCGATGTACCTCTTCGGATGACGCAAAAACAGGGCTTCCGATTCCGCATCTCAGCTAAGGTTGGGTTTACCTTTGAGAACACCGCCACACCAAACCCGTACCAGGGATAGACCCCACGATGATGATGGCTTGATCGATCACACCCAGCGTTTCTGAACCAAAAGAGCTGACCGAAGCACATTTGTCCATACAAACAAGCGCGAGGCAAGCTACAAACGATAATTCGAAATCCCTTCCTGATAATGTCCTTCCGCGACACGGTTTAATCTACCTACTCGCTTTGCTGCATCGCATTCGCCTCACACCCTCTTTTTGCGCCCAAATCGATGGACTGGGACAGGCTCGAATGCAATAACTACCACATACCAATGCCAACAAGATAACAATGGAAAACCTCAACATCTCCGATGCCCCTCCCCAGGGGGGCCAGCCCGTTCTCGGCGGCCGCGCGCCTCCACCTCAACAGACCCCTCAGCTCCCGCCTCAGATGTTCACCACTGCGGCGCAGCTGCTGGACATGACTGACAGTATGGGATATACCACGGCAGCCTCGGCCGCATGAGTGCTGCGGTACTCTTCGCGAGACAGCAAACGCTAACCCTCCGTCAGAGAAGCTTATGGTTGCACTCCGCGACGGGCGCAAACTGATTGGCGTCCTCCGTAGCTGGGATCAATTCGGTATGTAAACGGCAAACACCAAAACCTCATCCAACTGTACATTCAAGAGGCTGACGATGGGCTTCTTCTCCTTGCCTATTATCAGCCAACCTCGTTCTCCAAGACACCGTCGAGCGCGTCTACGCCCACCCGGACCCGGAAGCCAATCCGCCCCGCGAAGGGGGCCTCTTTGCGGATATCAAGCGCGGCATCTTCCTCGTGCGCGGCGAGAACGTGCTCCTCCTGGGCGAGATCGACCTCGACAAGGACGACGACCCACCCGTGGGCTACGAGCCGGGCGACCTCAAGCTCGTCCAGGGCCTGGCAAACGAGCGGAAGGAGAAGGAGAAGGCGCGCGACAAGGGGCGGATCAAGAAGCTTAGCACGCTGGGCTTCGAGGGCGAGAACATGGGCGAGATCTTGCTCTGATCCACCTTGACACATGTTCTTACATCCCTTCATGATGAGATTTTTGCGCGGGAAACCCTGACCACCAGGACAACAAAGTCAGCTTATAGGCTTCTTTATTCATCACCCATATGACTCACGAATGCACGCCGAATGAGAATAGGTTTGGGTTCGGGTTTGGGTTTGAGGTGGGAAAAGGAGGTCAAACCCCGGAGGCCCTGATGTGGTCTCTGTGGCTGCCGAGTGGTACATCGCACCGGCTGTTCACTTTATCCTTCCGACGCCGTAGTGGAAGGCTTGTAGGATGCTTGAGCAGAATATTGTGAAATGCTCATCATCCAGGGCCCGGTTAGAACGACCGACGCCAGCAGAAGATAAAATTTGAAGCGTTTTATGAAATTCCTGGCAAACACTTGGAGTTGTGCGACTTGTTCTACTTGTTTCATGTCTCTAGCTTTCCATCATCTCGCGCCTGCACGGATGGGTATTGAATATATCGAAGTTGAAAGGCAAGCCTATATTTCTACATGTTGCCCCCTAGCTCACCGGTTCAGCTCTTGTTTACAACCCAGGAACGAAGCCCTCGACTACGACATCCCACTCACTGGGGAAGTGAGGTCCTTCCTCGCCATCCCAGCCACCGGCCATCATAGCCACGGCGAGCAGCAAGCTACTCGAGCTCGGGAAGTACGGCGTCGGCACCCTCGTTCCGCCGACGGGATACCCCGCTTCATCAAAATGGAACGTCGAGTGGAGGAGATATTCGACCGCGCGCTCCGCGTCGCCCAGGCGGAGGCTGTTCATCGCGAGCATGGGGAAGTCCCAGCCAAAGGACTCGTCGAGGTCCCACAGCGCCCATATCCGGGCGGCGGTCTCCTCGAGCACGGTACGGTTCAGCGGCGGGCCCGAGGCCGGCGGCGGGAGGAGACCAAATATGCCGGCCATGGCCGGGTGGTCTTGCACCGTCGTGTTGGCCCACATGTTGGGGATGCCCTCGTAGACGGGGTACGTGCCGTCGATGATGGGTAAGGGCGCGAGATTATCTCTGACGGTGGTCCAGGGTTCCGGTACAGGGAAATTTTGACGGGATTTCCACGAGATTGCGACGTCAAGACCGAAGCGCCAGTACGCGAGCTCAAAGGTCGGGTTGACGGTGGCGTTGGGGTTCGTGTTCTCCGAGACGGGGTACATGGGCGGACCGAGGTCGTAGACGTCCGTCGTCTCGTTGCGGAAGGCGAACGAGGCCATAAAGTCCGCCGTCGCGGTGAGGACGGCGTCCCAGTCGGCGAGGGTTTGCGGGTTCGGCGCGTGGCGGTAGGCGAGCTCGGCAAAGTACATTGGGTGCGGCTGCTGCCAGATGAGGAGGGTGTTGATCTCGCCGGGAGCGTCGATGGTGGAGGGGTCCGTCATCTTGCCCCAGCGGGCGCCGGCGTAGTCTTGCGTTGAGGCGCGGGCGAGGGAGGAGGGGAGGAGGTGGGTGTAGGTCTGTGGGAGGGAGCGGGCGAGGAGGGCGTGGTTGTTCCAGCGGGCGAATTGGAGGGTGTGCCAGAGGATCATTTCCATCTTGGAGGTGTGTGTGTGAGCTGGGGGGTCATATATCAAAGAGTTTGGAGAGTACATCTTACGTGGAACTTGCCAAACCATCCATTGTTCACAAGACCGGATTCTGCGTCCCTGTCAGTACTTTCCTCGGGCGAGACATGGCAATAGGGGGTTGGATGTCGACTCGCCTTGGGGAGGGTAGTCTGACGCCGAGTTCACTGCCACGAGGTACTGAGATTGGATTATTCTGCGCTGAAGCTCAGTCGCGTTGGCATCCACGGTCCCTGTCAGGTCTACAAAGGCCCCGTTGTTCCAATACGATGGCCACCATTCCCTCGAAGCCGCTACGACACCGTCAAACTCGGGTGCGGACTCGGGTGCAGAAGGCGCAAAGTTGGCCGTGAAACGCAGTGTATCTGTGCCACTGCTCGAAAGGACATATCGATGGCTTCCGTCAGTGGGTGTCCTGATAGCACCGCTACCACCGGCGGCATCCCACTCGAGTGACAGGTCGTACTGCGTCGTGGTCAAGTCGTGATGGATCCTGGCCTTGTTGGTCCCTCCTCCGTCAGGGAACGACAGAGACGTCTTGTGTAAGTCCGTCTGGTTGAAGACACCTACGAACGGCGCGCCGAACTTATCGTTTGTCGGATAGGGAAAGTTGAAGAAGATGGAGAGGGCGCCGGTGGAGAGGAGGCCCGATTCGACAGACACGGCGACGCTGTCAAAGGCTGGGTCGGCCCAAGTTTCGACTTTGACGGTATGGTTTTTATATGTGAAGCTGGAGTGGATGACGCCCGTCCACATATCTAGGGTTTGGTTCTTGTTGCTGAGCATGTCCTCCGTGACCTTCGTGTTGCCGCCGTCAGAAAAGGAGAAGCCTATGATGCCTAGGTTTATGCGGTGTGGGTTCTCGCGGAGCCAGTCTGCGATGTCGTTGTTTGAGGGGTTGGCCATGTTGTATTGGACGAGTCGGCCGTGTGTCCACCACTCTGTGCCGTGGTAGTCTGTCGTAAACACAGTCAATACGCGTTTCTTACTCATCTGCTTCCCATTGCCTCTCGAACACGCAAACTAACCTTCGATTTGAGTCTGACCGGGCGTGGTGGGCAAACTGAAGTTGTGCCATCCCCACGTTGACATCGTCGCAAAGGGGCTGAAGGTCTGGAGACCTGTGATGTCGGCACCGAAGGCGAAGTTGCCGTTGCCTACTTGTAGCGGCGTCTCAGGGGAGCTGGCATTGCGGCGGGGGTTGAAGGCGTGGACAACCTTCTGCCTGTCAATTTTGGCATCAATGAGGCTGCAGAGCAGCGGGAGAACATGTAAAACACGCATGACTGGTTGCCTCTCTTCAATTACGAAGTCTTAGGATGGCATCGAGGAAGCAGGACCAATGTTTAAGTATACATAACCCCGGATTGCGGGTTACGCGGGGAAGCTGGGCTGCTCTTATTTCACCCAAGAGATCTGCGGACCGTTCATGACGACGCTCGAGGCCGGCTCCTCCCCCCTCGTGGTCATGTGTGAAGTTTGTGTCCATGGATTTTTGTCCGTAAACTACTCATCTTTCGGTGTGGTTTGTACCGAAAGCACCAATACCATGCTATGGATAGGCCCTGGGGAACGATGAGGGGAAAGAGATGAACTACGAATGCGGGGATGACATGGTCTCCACTTTGGAATTGAGGCTATTCAAAACCCAGGCCGGCAGAAGTCTTCGTGGAAGATTGAGTTTGTCTGCGGAGAAATCGACAGGGATGCCTACATTTGAGCGACACGACTGAATCGAAGTCAAGATTCAGAGACGCTCGGAAGCTGGAAGTTGGAGTAGCATGGCCCCGAGGACATTTAGCAGCAATCCGCAAATGCAAAATGCCGTAGATTTGGGTCTCGGCTCCGGGAATTAGGAGGCCCGCCCAATGTCATCCGGCTCTCCGCCCCTGGGAGCCGGAACCCGCCCGGGCGCTTGGAACCACTTCAGCCACAATTAGCAGGGAGCGACTGTGGCTCGTGTACCCACCAGCCGGGCTCCTGCAGCCCAGCAACCGCACCGATTGGGCAAGCGCATAAACACCATTCATCGCTTCAACGTAGTAGGGGGGACCCTTTCAAAGGCACCCACGCACCTTACCTCATGTCACCCAAAACAGCCAACAGCGCGCATCGTGGATCCAACAACATCTTGATTTAACATTTCACCTCCAGACATTTTCTCGCCCGGTCGCGCAAACTGGATACGAGCATCAAGACGACATCTTTGGACGTCATATGACTATCTGGTATGTCACAATATCAATGACATCTCTCAGTGACTTTCCTTGGATTTCAATTGTTCCATTACCCCGCTAACCACTGGAATGAGCAGCCTTCGACGACAACATTGAACATCGAACCCCCTTTCGCGCGCATTTCAATAATAGTCGCCGCCCATCATGGACAGGGTCGCGGGCCTCACAGTGTCAGTACCACACCCAACACCGCCCCTATGATGTCCCTTTTGCAATACATCAGTGTAAGGACGGGCTTGCTGGCTGGAATACCACCGCTACCGCCCCCGGTACCGCCAGCTGTGCCTGATCCTCCACCACGAAGCTACGGAGTTGGTCTCGTCAATCGAGACGTGACTGTCATCCAGATTCCCGAACCTCAGATCCCTGAACCAGTGTTGACAGCTGCTGACGACGACTACGGGGACGACAGTAACCAGAAGGCGGCTAGGAACCAATTTCGGTCGCGCACTGTCAAGGGAGCCAACAACGGCGTTGCACTACGACAGTATGCCGAGGCCACGCTCGGAGGTGGCAGCTTGCGCAAGGTTGTGAAGTTGCCTGAAGGCGAAGACGAGAACGAGTGGCTGGCAGTCAATAGTGAGTATTACCCGGGGGAATTGGGAGATGGAGCAAAGAAAACAGCACGACTGACACGCCTCAAATGCAGTGGTCGACTTTTACAACCAGATCAACCTCCTCTACGGCGCTATTACCGAATTCTGCTCGCCTCAGTCATGTCCCGAGATGAAGGCAACCGATGAGTTCGAGTACTTGTGGCAGGACAGCGAGAACTACAAGAGGCCGACTAAGATGGCCGCGCCGGACTACATTGAGCACTTGATGGCTTGGGTGCAGCGTCACATTGATGACGAGCAGATCCTGCCGAGCAGAATTGGTGAGATTTGCCTTGTCCCGCTCAATTGGAGATGGTTATCTAATATGGATTGCCAGGTGTTGCCTTCCCCAAATCATTTCCTTCCACCGTACGACAAATCTTCAAGCGCATGTATCGCGTTTATGCCCACGTCTACTGCCACCACTACGCGGTCATCAGGGAGCTCGGGTTGGAGCCCCACCTCAACACGAGTTTCAAGCAGTACGTTCTATTCGTTGACGAGCACAAGTTGGCTAGTGGCAAGGACTTTTACGGTCCTCTGAACGACCTCGCGGAGAAGATGATTGAGAGCGACTGAGCCAGGCCAGACGAGCCTTTCGAGAGTATGAATGCATGCATTGTCTAGGCGTTGGGGGAAACACGGATGACACGCCGGTTGGCAAGGTAATAAGGAAGGTCTGATGATTGGCGCGTTGGGCTTTGACACTGCTGAGCCTGTGGACATGAGGCACGGAAGCGGTTATTGTGATATCACTGTAGACTACAAACTGGGCAACGGGCAGTAGGGCTTTGGGTTGAGAATTCGAGCATTGAGAATGACCAACATGTTGTGTACTCTCAAGTACCTTGGGTAGTTTGCATGTGTTCTATCAATTGTCAGACCCAAAGTGACTTCATCCCATTGATTGCACCAGAACATGCTTCGAAGAGTGGAGCTTGGGCCCAGGCGCCTTCCTGTGCAGCAGCAACAACGAACGCCTCCGATTTCCACCGACCCGAGCCCTCAGACCGCTTACCTAAGTTGATGCCTTACCATTCAACCAGCACCCAGCAGCAGCGTCCCAAGGCATCAACATCCCAAATTGCCGAAGTTCAAACCTCAACCTCGAAAACCGACGCAAGCTACCACCACTGCGTCTCGTTCGAATCCAGCCATCCCTCCCTCCCGCCCGTCTCCCATCTTCAATTGAACTCCACCACCCACCACAACCGGAACCTCTCTTTCGCCCGACATGTTCTCGAGACAGGCTGTTCGCACCCTACGAGCGGCGGCTCCCGCTTCGCGCCTCGTCGCCCGCGCCCCGGCCGTCCGCACCTACGCCGCCGCCGCGGCGACCGAGGCCGTCAAGCCCCCCGTCGCCGTCTTTGGCCTCGACGGCACCTACGCCACTGCCCTGGTACGCATCTACTCTCCTCGTTAGACCGGATCTCTCTTGGACGAACGGTTATTCAATTGGTTTAATTGGTTGGGGGAGGATGTTTATTGAGAGGATTGATGGGGAGTGAGGGAGCTTTGCCGGAGGAATTGCAGGAAAAACACAACCGGAAGGAAACCACTCAAAGATCTCAAACAGATGGCTAACTCTTTGCGTCTCTTTCCCCCGATCACAGTACACCGCCGCCTCCAAGACCTCCTCGCTGGACCCCACGGCCAAGGCTCTGGCCACCCTCGACGCCATCTTCGCCAAGGACCAGAAGCTGGCCACCGTCCTCGCCGCGCCCACCCTGACCGCCGAGGACAAGGCCGCCATCGTCGCTGAGCTCACCAAGCAGGCCGGCGCCGGCTCCCAGGAGACTGTCAAGAACTTCCTCGCCGCCCTCGCCGAGAACAACCGCCTCGGCCTCCTCCCCGGCATCACCCAGAAGTTCGCCGAGATCATGAGCGCCGCCCGCGGCGAGGTTGAGCTCACTGTCACCAGCGCCACTGTAGGTTTCCTTCTTACTTGAGATTTGATTCAGGGGGGCATGTGCAATTCGTCATTGAGAGATTGAAGACGGACTCGAAACACATAGACAGGGGTGGGATCCTGAAAGTTGCAACCTTCAACGAGGGAATTTCGCACATGCTTTCAGGGACGTCATTCAGAACAGGCCACTAACACCCATTCCCAGCAACTCGATAACAAGACCCTCAACCGCCTCGAGAGCTCCATCGCCAAGTCCTCCTACGTCGGCCAGGGCAAGAAGCTCAAGGTCACCAACAACGTACGTCTTGACATCCCACCACCCATCTCCGAGCCGTTTCCCCCGAGATCACCTCGGTTCGGGACACTGGCATCAGAGATGTGGTTTCCCGAACGGAAGAAACTGTCTCTTTTTGACTGACACTCCCTTCTTCTTCTCTAGGTCAACCCCGATATCGTCGGAGGCCTCATTGTCGAGATTGGCGACCGGACCATCGACCTCAGCGTCTCTGGCAAGATTGCCAAGCTTAACAAGCTTCTCACTGACACTTTGTAAAAAAAACCACACCAAAACCTTCATCATACTAGCATGAAGAAATCCTAATCCTCCTTCTCACACCCAAACCGAACCTCCCTTATTTTCTCTTTGTGTGTGTGTCTCTTGTAAACTTGACTTGGGGGGGCATAGTGGGAAGGGGGATGAGGATGGAGAAGATGGTTGTCTGGCTCTCTCACGTGTAATGACCAGGAACGGGTGAAGACACCCCCATTCTTGTCTTTGCAGCACAGGGCTGAGAAGGATCGATGTTGGCCACTTTTCCCCCTCCCCGGGCGAGAGGACATTGAGGGCCTGAATGAGACGAAAGCTGTGCATAGTTCTGTCTACAATAGAAGCATTCACGGAACCCCCTTTTTTCTTACAACGGACATAATGGTCTTTATGACTGTTATTTCTCCTCTGAAACTGGAACAGCGGCAATAATGAGTCGCTATGATGTATGTTACCGATTCTCGACGCAACGTTCGCCCTCGCTTCTAGTGGGTGATGAGTGACGGTGGGACCGGAGGCTTTTTCCTGACTTGAAGGGATCAATCTTTATAGCATCCAGGCTTTCAAATGTAAGATCTCTCGGTGCAATTGAACAGACGTACATTCTGAAACACCTGCTTTCATGACTTCCTTTACCGGGAGAAAGCTCACTCGTCGGACACCACTCGTGACTGTATGGGGAAACCTTGAAATAGGTTAGCCTGGCCGGGCACGTCAAAGTCCTTGGCTATGCCGTGTGTCGACTGTGTCTTGCCGTCGAGGCCGTACGACCTTGACATTCCTCTGCAACGTATACCGGCCCAACAAGCCGCAGTCTTCGTTCTATCTACACTGGAGCTTGGTCTGGAAATAGCTGACATCTTGCTTGGTTGGGATAAAGTTATGCCTGTCTTAAGCCCGCGTATTGCGAACGTTGTGGGCGGAATGGTCTTCACTATAGGCGTCTCGGGCCGAACGAGCACCACGAACTTGGTTGAAACCCAATCTACGTATATTAATCCTGGGAACCTTTACCTATGCAGTCTAACAGTCCTGTATATGGCTCTATGTGCATTGATGGCATTTTTGGTTTGCCATCAGGCGCACTACGCAAGGAAACTCAATGGATGCACTCGTTCGCTTCTTTTAACCGCCCAGATTCAGATACACTTGCACCAGCCGGCTCCTCAGCCACTTCGCGTCGTAATCACTGGAGAGAAGCTCTAGACGCCAGCCTCATATTCGTTGTCGGTTCCACCCGGGTGCTCTTTGTCCTCCTTGAACCTCTCCAGCTGATCCGAAATGTAGCGATGCATGTGTGCGTCGGCTTCCGACTTCTCCCTCATCCTCTGTCGGAGCTTCTCTGGATCATCTAACGTAGCCGAGTTGCTCAGTGAGTCGTCGCCATTAGTCTCGTCAAAGTCGCTCCTCGCACCGATGGATCTCGCCGTTGATGATCTACGCATCCGTGGCTTGCCACCAGGTCCAGGGGTCATTGAGCCACGGCGGTCAGTGCCGCGGGCAAAGATGTCATCAAAGTAATGAGACATTCCCGCGGAGGGGGTGCGGGGAGTGTGAGGCAGACGGCAGTTAATACTGGCAAGCCTTGTTAGCAATCATGTTCACAAATGGCGGATTGGGAACCATCTTACCCAGTATCGTGGATCATGCGAGCCATTAAACCGGTCCAGCCGCACTGGTGGGTAGCGCCGAGCCCACGGCCACTGTCGCCGTCGAAGAATTCGTAGAACCAGAGGTAATCCTTCCAGTAGGGATCAAAGTCGAGCAGGTCGTTTCCGGAGTTGATGCTACGCCGACCCTCATCGTTGCGTGTCATCAGGTGCTGCAGACGATGCTGAATCTCCTCGGAGACGTGGCCCAAATGCATGTAGTCGCCACTTCCTGTGGGACACTCGACCTGGAACTCATGTCCGTAGAACAAGAAGAATCTCTGCAAAGACTCCACTAGAAGGAAGTTGACACACAACCAAATGGGACCTCTCCAATTGCTATTGCCGCCAAACAGACCGCTGTCAGAATCGCCAGGAACGTAGCCAACAGAGAAGGTCTGGCCATTAACCTCCATGGAGAACGGGTTCTCCTTGTGGTACTTTGACAAGGACCGGATTCCATGCTCGCTGAAGAACTCATTCTCGTCAAGCATGCGGTAAAGGATCTTCTCCAGCCTGTCCTTGCTGACGATGGACAAGAGGATTCTGTTGCCCTTTCCACGCTTGGCAATACTAGCCATGTTGCGCTCGGCCAAATCGCAGCGGTTCTCCATGAACCAATCAACCCTCTTCTTGAAAGAGGGCAGCTTGTTGATGAGTTCGGGCTCGAGAGTGAGGGTTGCGTAAAGGGGAATCAACCCGACGAGAGAACGGACTGGAAGCTGCTGGATCCAGGGGCCACCCCATGAGATAGCATCATAGTAGAAGCCATCCTCGTCGTTCCAGAGTGACTTTTCGTCCTTCTGGCCAGTTCTGAAGGTCATCGCATCACTGATGAAGATGAAGTGCTCGAAAAATTTGGAAGCAATATCCTCGTATGTGCGTCGGTGCTTTGCGAGCTCAAGAGCAATGTTGAGCATGCTGAGACAGTAGAAGGCCATCCAGCCTGTGCTGTCAGCCTGCTCCAAAGAGCCGCCAGTGGGGAGGGGCTCAGAGCGGTTGAAAAGACCAATGTTGTCGAGACCCAGGAAGCCGCCCTCGAAAACGTTCTTGCCATCGGCGTCCTTTCGGTTAACCCACCATGTGAAGTTCAACAGCAGCTTTTGGAAGACTCTCTCGAGGAAATCCAAATCCTGTCGTCCGTAGAGCTTGCGCTCAATTTTGAAAACTCGGAACGTGGCCCAAGCATGAACGGGGGGGTTTACGTCGCCAAAGTTCCACTCGTATCTATACGGCTTTAGCACCAATCTATTTCGGTGGATTGTAAGTAACTTACGCTGGCAGCTGGCCGTTGGGATGGCAGTACCACTCTCTGGTGAAGAGATCAAGCTGCTTCTTGGCAAAGTCTGGGTCCATCATTGCCAATGTGATACAATGGAAAGCACTGTCCCACGCTGCAAAGAATGGATATTCCCAAGAGTCAGGCATAGACAGAATGTCGTCGCAGTGCATGTGTTTCCACTGAGAATTACGAATGTCTTTTCTGCTGGGCGGCGGAGGGGGTTGTGTCGGGTCACCGTTCGCCCACTGGTCCCAAATAAAGAGGTAATGCTGCTTCGTCCACATCATTCCGGAGAAGGCTTGACGCTGAATGTTGCGCAAATCGTCTGCCATGGGGAGAGGGCTGAGACGGTAGTAGAAGTCGTCGGCCTCGGCAATTCTGAGATCGACCAGGTCGTCAAAGTCACCTTCGTCGAAGTAGGTTTGGTTCTTCTTGGAAAAGCGGAAACGAACGACGGCGCACTCGCCGGGAGGAACACCACCATCCTCGTTGAAGCTGAACCAGGCGGCGCACTTGGTGCCCTTCTGTGCTGGGTTGACGGCCCCCTTTTCCTTCTCGCAAATGTGACGATGGAAGGCATCTTTGACATACGGAGTCTTGTTGTCCTGCTCGTACAACAGCTCATAGTTGGTGTCGTTGTCGGTAAACAACATCTGGGGGATTACGTCCTCGCCGCTGGTACCGACACCGGGGGAGGGCGACATTAGGAAGTAACGGTCCCCGAGCTTGTGATGCTTGGATTTGGCCAGACCCTCGCCGACGTTCTCAATGGACGGCTTCTTGTCCTCAGGCTCCCGGCCCCAGGCCCAGGTGTTGCGGAACCACATTTGCGGCACAATGTGAAGTGGTGCCGGATCGGGACCTCTGTTCCATGCGGTAACACGGAACAAGATCTCTTCAGGGTCGTCCGTCTCCTTTGCCGTTTCGATAAAAATATCCCAGTACCTATCTTCGTCGAATATGCCTGTGTCAACGATCTGGTACTCCTTATCTTCCTTGCCTCTGCGCGCATTTTCTTCCAATAGGTCCTTGTAGGGAAACTTCTTCTGCGGGTACTTGTAGAGGAACTTCATGTAGGAATGCTGCGAGCGGTTTGTCAATATGAGCAGTTGGGAACTGCCTTTCTCAAACTCACTGTCTACAGAGTATGTTAGCTACCGAACTACAAATACACAGGCATTCTCGAGCTACTTACAGGGGTGTTGTCAACGTGGAAGTGAGCTTCCTTGACGCTCTCGCCATGGTTACCCTGGGGGTTTGAGAGACCGAACAATCTCTCCTTGAGGAAATCACTGTCGAATTATCAGCCATTGGTACGAAGCACAAGTAACCCGACGAGCATTCACTGACTCTTCCTCGTTCCAGAAAGAAAATCCAATATTTTGGAAGCCATGGGTGTCAGAAACACCGGCAATTCCATCCTCACCCCATCTGTAGGCTCGGGATCGTGCGTCGTCGTGGGTAAAGTCTGGGGCACATTGTCAGCGGGCTGCAACTGGAGCTCGTGGGGAATGGCGGGGGTTTCCTCACGACTCCACGCGTCTCCGTCGGGACTGTAGTCCTCTCGCACTACGACACAGCTTCGATTAGATCATGTTTATTTCGCTGACGGGGTGGTTTGCTAGCAACGGCAGCAGTTGCAGCAGCAATGGCAGTAGCTGGTGCTGAATCTGGAACTAGAGCTTGAGCAGCCACTCACCAGTGGCCCATTGACGTTCGGCAACGTAAGGGCCCCATTTCTTCCAGTACTTCTCGCGCCTGCGGTCTTCCTTGAGGCGCTTCTCCTCCTCGGTGAGATACTCGTGACCGTCAAAGACAACCATGGTGGGCGGATGGACACCTCGTAGTGTTGGAGAGACAGAGCACGCCCTTTACGACAGCGGAGGCAGCGTCGTTGAGGGTTGAGGGATTTCCAGGCCGTTTGGATTTGGGAGCGAGTTGTGGGCTTGTAGCGAGAAAAGAGAGAAAGGGTGTAGGTTCGGCGGGACGAAGTGCAGGATTAGGACGGAGGTGACCTTTAGTAAGAGCCAAAGACCCCAGCCAGCAATGCTACCGAGAACAGCACGGGCAGAGCACGTCACGTATCACGATAACCTCAGCGACAGGCGGTCAGTTTCGTTCACACCTGGTTGTCGAGCTAGCTCAACAAGGGCAGGAAGGTCGAGACTCTGGAGGATGCAGAATGCAAGATTGCGTAGAGGAGGTAAGGTAGGTAGTAGCGTAGGTGCGTCTTAGTTGGAGGGAAGACTCGAAAGAGAGGAAGAAAAATAAATTAGAAATGCGGCTACTAGTATGTATGTGCCTCACTGCCCTGGGTGATGGATGTACCAGACAGGGAACCGACGTGTTGGGAAAGCCGCGGGCAATGGCGGGAGGTCTGGTCCGAAAAGATTGAGATAGCGCCTCAGCATCTTCAGGTACCAAGGTGGGAAAGCAGCCAACCAAGGGGCGCGATAACAAAACTACCTTAAGCCCGTCCGACGACACCTTAATGAGTCGAGCAAGGTAAGGTAGGCACTTGGTAGCCAAAGTGCAGTGCGGAGTGTTAGCGGAGGTAACAGCGAGCAAGCAGCTGCGACACGAGTAAGCAGAACTATGGAGGTCTGGAGAGTACTCCGTACCATCAGGTAGTTCACAGCCCGCGGCAGTAACAGCCGCGAGCGACCAAGTAGCTGCAGCACACCGGGGGGAGGGGGGCAGGCATCCAAGGTTGAGGGGGCGACGGCCGCGGGGCATTCGAGCCATGCCATTGTGTTTGCCCATCTGGAATGACCGCCATACGATTACGGTGTACCTCGCACTTAGATAGAATTTTGTGCCATTTTGCCTGTGGCTTCTGCCAACCTTGAATGCCTGCGTTCCCCATTGCCCCCCCCCCCTTCGGCTCCGCACTCCGCAAGGCATAGAGGAGTAGGTAGCTGAGCAGCAGCACAACCTTGGACAACGCTTGCCTGTCATGCCAATTGCTCTCGGGGATTTGCAATTGACATCTGATGCAGCTACAGCTGACCCCCTTCTCGTGAGTCTCTTCTCCCAAAGTTCCCCCTTCTCTCTCTCTCCTCGCTCCAACCAAAATGGAACCATACAATTGCTCCTGGACACCGATATTACAGCGGCTGGCTGCTGCTGCTGCCCCTTGTTGCCCCTCTCTTTGAAACGCTAAAATCAGAGCTTTCAGAGGCATGACGTCAACTGGCTCTAGCGCACCTCCATCCAACCTAGCGGGGCAGCTCTTCGCCGGCCACATCTCACTGCATTGGGCCGTCGCTGCCACCCCCGGGGCCCCGACATGGCCTGGACCGTCGCCGACTGACAAGGGCACTTGGGAATATGTGAATCGATCGTCGATGAGGTACTGTTTTGGTCTTGGTTGCCGCCGCCGTACAAGCCCAGACACACTTTCGACGCCCCCCCGTCCGACGAGAGAAACGTGGTTTACTGGTCGTGGTGGTGTTCATGGTGAGCCTCAATGACTTACTTCCTTTCATTCTTGAGCCCTAACAGCTAGCGTTGCCGTCCGTCCTTGGCTTAATCTGCAAAATCCCAGAGAAGAATTGTCACCTCCACCGTCATAACACTGCGGGAGAAAATTAGTCCCGTCATTGTGCTGTACTGGCACGATTCCATTATCAAACTCGACAGACGGGACCAGGGTCGACAGTGTAATTCGAGGCCATCATCGACCTCGATATCAATTGCTGAACAGGATATCTATAACGTGAAATTCGAGCCAAATCGCCTAGAAACAGTCCCACTTCGCTGCGTGAACCCGACACGTTGATATGTACGCATGCATGCGCCATCACGTCTCGCGCGAGCTAATGACCAGCTTGCCCGCAGACGTTGCGCCTTCGTCCTTCTATGCTCTCGTCGTCGTTGGGCAAAAGAGTCTTTCCGTCGAGACACTTCGCCCATTTGCCAGATTCTATTTGGCGAACCATGGGAACTTCTTCTTGTTGTACTCGGCACCGCCGCCCGCCGTGCTTTCCAGCTGTACACTCCGTTGATATATTTCCTGTGATGACACGTTAGTCATGCTGTACTATTCATCATCGCCACCACCTCACTTACTTCTTCGTCTGTTGGCATCCTGCAGTCCAAAATCAGCTCTCTAGCTGCCTCGTGCTTCGAGAGGTTCGGGTATGCAGTTCCTTGACTCTTCATGAGCGGCAGCAGTACTTCCCCAAGTACCTCGAATTTCTTCCAATTAACTCTATCGCCTTCAGGTCCCACAAATGTCTTGCTTCCTTCCTCGGCCGAGACCAGGTCTCTCCGGTGCAGTGGAATGTATGGTATCCGCGGCAACGGGGAATTCTCCCATGCCAGGCGATACGCAAAGTGACTCTTTTGTGTGCCCATGAGAATGCCCAATTTTGCAAACGACTTTTGCGCTTCAGGCGGTACTAGTGCCCATGTCTGCGCCAGCCGATGGACCGCCGTGCCGTTGATCCCTGCGAGCACCGCCGCCAAACCGTTGTAGTTGTTGAGTCGCCGCAGCTTTTGTGCAATGTTCATAAACTTCTCCAACATCTGGGACCGATGCTTTGCCTTGTCTCGTAATAATATCAGATTGGCAACCCACTTCGCCACGTGGTTGAAGTGGTTAATCATCCGATTCACGTTCTTGAGACTCTTGCATTTGGATCGTTGCTCCAGGGAGAGACTCACATGCCGCACAAAGTCTCTGATGCGGATAGAAGAGAACATAACCCAGTCGATGCGTGTCATCTCATCGGCGATGTCGTCGTCCGTGATGTCCATGAAAATGTGGTAACGGAACTTGTTCATCGGTAGCACATCCGTGGGCTCCATGTTCGCCGCCTCTCTTTCGTATTCGTCGTACGAGTGAAACGAAACATGCGTACCCACGCTACTAGTCCTGTCCACTTGGGAAAAGTCGGAGCTGCCGGAAGGTCTCTCATCTGTAGTCCTGTCGTCGTCGATGCTCAGGGTGATCATACCGTTGGACATGTCTGATGTAGAGCGCGTCTTCTCCCTCGACAACAGTTTGCTGCCTTCTTCGTCTGCAACCTCGTCTGACTTTGCCCACCCGGTGTTGTCATCCTCCACCACACTAAACTCGAGATGTCGCCGAATTTGCTGCGCAGCGATGGAAAAGATCGGCTCGGTGGAGAGATGCTTGATGAACTCTTCTAGGTTTCGCCTCGTGCCTGACCGCGCAAAATCGCCAGGGTACAGCGATACCCATTTTGCGACAACTTCAATGATTCTGAGTTGTGTTGCGGTCTTGGAAAGATAATGTGCTGATTTGTCGTCTCTGACGCGGTCAAGTCGCGTGAGAATTGCTGAAAAGAGTTCGCCAGGTGCGGCAAACTTTCGGTAGAGGCACAGAAAAACGTCCGAAAAGTTGTTGTCTGCTTTGGTCATCCGGGGAGCAATGAGCCGGTCGACAAGTTCTTCAAAGGCCACCCCTGTGGCCTTGGTCGGCTTCTCGAGGAAGCTCTCATCACTCCGTTGTAGAATGGGAACCTCCTCCGAGTACCTGAATGATTCGGCGTCTGATTCCTCCATATCTAGAAACGAATCCGTTGGCCCGCGGTCGAGACGTATCCCAGGTGTCCGTAGCTGACTCGAGACAGTTTGTTGAGACTCCTCCTCAATGGTATCTGATGGGCCGAACGAGCCCGAACTTGAAGGCGCACCACCAAAGTCGGCTATTCGAGGACTCCGTGGAGGATGTGGGCCACGTAAGTGATCGGGGATGGGAGGGGGAACACCTCGAAGAAGCGACAAATCAGAGCTCGCTCGGCTATGTTTACTCTGCTGACTTAGCGGGCGTCCGTTGGAGCTGTCGTGGGCCTCGAGGTTGGCCGCCGACGCTGCACGGCGGCGGGGCATGCCCGATTCTAATTGTGATTCTGGTACTTCATCAGCATTGCATTGGCTAATTATGCATCCAATGACGGGTTCAAGTTACCCTTGCGGTAAGCGATCGAGGCTTTCAAAGTTGTGTTTAAACACGCTCTGGCCCGTTCTGGACTACTTGTTGATAGATTGAAAACCCCAACGCATGACTTGAAATACTCGTGGCTGGCGACTCGCTGCGAATCAACCTGCCGTTCGCTCTCGGGATGATCGCATTTATTGGCGACGAGGACGGCCGGCAGACCCGACTTTGTTAAAGCAGCTAGCGCGTGTCAGCAAGACGCGCCGCGTCTAGACGAATCAAACGGCGCAAAGTTAGGCTCACCAATCGTTTGAGGCAATTCCTTCATGCTCTCCTTATTCATGACATCGTAGATAATGAGGGCGCCATCGACCCGCGGGACGATGTGGCCGTTGATCTGTTTCGGCCACTGGATGGGCTGTAGCGGATTGAGCTCAAAGTACTCGAGGTCTAGCTCGATCAGCGTGACGCCGTAGGTGACATTGTCAACGACCATGCGGACGCTGGATGCATTGGTAATGGGCGGTCGCGATAGGCCCAGCACGCGCTGGACGAAGGACGACTTGCCAACGCCCGAGGCGCCAATGACTGCGATATTGAGGCTCTCCATGATGGCGGAGGTTGGTGGTTGCTATGATCGTCAGCCCCTTTTTTCCACTCCCGTCTCATCAGCTACCCCGCAGTCTGTGTCTAGTGGGGCATTATTACCCAGTACAAGGAATGTCCTATTATCAACGACTCTCTTCTTGGGGGCGGCCAGCGCTCGTTGGGCGTGTCGTCATCGCGGAACTCGAAAGCGTCGAAATCGAATTCTTCCTCCTCGTCTTCGTCTTCCTGGCTATCGCCCGCGTTTTCGTTTTCGTTATTGTCTCCTTCGTCTTCGGCGTCGGCGTCGGCGTCGTCAAATGAAGTTGCAGTCCAACGGGGGTCGAGTGCAAGAGCCCCTTCAATGTTGTTATCGTCAAATCGCAGGAAGAACGGGTCGTCGACGATGGAGATGAAGGAGTCCCGATAGTTGGCAGGTTGTTCGGAGGCAGAGGCAGAAGGCCGTATTGGCTCGATCGAAGACTCTCGGTGGACGGCGTAGTGAGGTGTATGTCTCTTCGGAGCGGCGGGGGCGGATCGGTGAGCGGCGTCGCGGTCGGCTCTTCGGGAGGAGGAGGAGGAGAAGGAGGAGACAGCGGCGTTGGCAGTATAACGGTCGGCGTGGTAGTATTTCGGAGGTATGTGGGAGCCTTCTGAACTCCTGTGAGCCTTTCGAGCTCCCATAGGATCGGACGCCATGGCCACGACCGGGGGAGGGCAGAGGCTATTCGGGGGAAGCAAACATACAATGTGCAAAGAAGAGGTTGGAAAGATCACGACCGAACAAGAACAGAGCGGAACTGGCAGGGCCTTGGGTGAAAACCAAACTTTTGGGACAGTGGATGCACTGACTAAAAGTCTGGATTTCAGAGCCTCAAGGAAGGCATGGCAAACCCACCAGGGACCGTTCTTCTTAGTGTGGTCTGCGGCCTGCCTCGTGTGTACCTTGCCTTCTCGTCGGGGGCCCTTGGTAATGGTTGCTGGGCCGGTGAGAAACCTTGACCAAAGATTGGGCAAGCAAGGTAAGGTAGGTACGGATGGGTAGGCCAGGTAGGTACAGTGTATGGTACGTACGAACGGGACTGCGGCTCGTCAGATCAGGTACACGGAGGATCCGTCAGAGGTACTGGGCGACTGGGTGCGTGTGAATAGCGCGAACGCAGTACTTCGTACGGATAGGATGGGACAGGAACAGGAACAGGAACAGGATAGAGCTTCGTGGTGCGGCAGACCAGGGGTTCGAAAAAGGGGCCTGGTTTATTTTTTTTCTCGCTAGGAGCTCCACCGGTGCGCAGATGTCGGGCTTGTGAGAAGTGACGGGCGTGGATTGGGACCTTGGAAGGGCAGCGTACGTACGGATACTTCGCAAGCGTTCGTCGACGATGCTAGACACACAGCAAATGAGGTCAGTCACGGATCCAGGCCACGGGCTCCGGCTCCTTCCAAGCTTCAGAAAGGAAATTCAGGAAGGGGGGCAATTGACGCGGCGCATGTGGTGCAGGGCCGAGCTTGGTGCGATTGCGATTGAGATTGGGATTCTGCCAACCTGGCTGGTTGATGATGGGGGGGGGAGAGGGTTTGTCCCCTAGCGTTGACTAGGGGGCTCAAGATCGAACCAAACCAGGACGACACCAACAACAATGGCACCTTTCGGTTTGTACCAGTGGCACAGCATGCGCTGGTCCTGTTGCTTCTGGAAGGGGACCGGGGGCCTGGGGGTTGGTAGGTTTGCTTCCTACGTACCTTTGGTAGGTTCTTGGAGTTGTGAATGGTTGAACCCTAGGCTTGCGCTGGTTTGGGGCCGGACTTGACCAAGTAAGATGAGGGAATGGATAGGAGTGGTGGTCGTGGTGGAGGGGAAAGAACCGTCCAGTGCCCACGGGCAGGTCCCGTCAGGAGAGAGTGAGACGAAGTGAGAGACTAACGGGAGAGCGGGAAGGGGCCGCGACGATCAGGACCGCTGACCGAGAGACGAGCCGTTGATGAGGGGTACGCAGTATCCGTAGGTAATAGCGTAATACGGAGCAAGAGAGGTGAGCTTGATTAAGGTATCCGCAGTCCGTACATTGGCTGCCGACCCTTACCGGACCTCAAAAGACGAAAGGCGCGGGTACGCTCGCTGGTTTATCAGCAAGTTGGAGTAGTCAGGAAATAGGTGTGCAGAGGTAAATAAGCGTATCCGTCCCTCTGGTGGGAAATGCAGCTGATGCGAATGGATACTCTCACCCGGTCAGAACAGAAACGGCAGCACGGGATGGGACTGGACGTGGACGTGGACGTGGAACTGAAAGTGGAAGTGGAAGTGGAAGTGGACGGGAGCAACCAGGAAAGCGGAGAAACCTAAGGGAACAAGGGATGTTCCACTGCGCCCTGTGCAGCTGTGCTCTTTCCACCTACGCAGTAGGTATTCTGCGAGCAGGTACCTGAGTACTTCCATTTCTGGATGAGGAAGCAACACTGTGAAGTCAGGAAGCTCGGGCCCCCAGCACCGCACTGAGTGGACCCAAAAGGCCCATTTGGTCCGGGGCCCATCCATCCAATGACAAGACCCGTAAGCATTGGTAGCACTGGATCCCTTCGACGTCCACGGAACGCTTGAACTCTCCATCTGCCGAATGATTGGTCACCGTTGCTGAATTCATCCTGCCTCTCCATTCAAGATATCTCGAGACCCTCAGTGGCTCCCATTTCAAGGTGGAAAGTGCAGGGAGACAGGTACTACCTTTCTCAGTGGATGCGTTGCGAGCCCGTACGGATACTCAAACGGATGAGGTACTCACACGGCCGGCCCTTGCTGCTCCACTGGACCTCTGCTTCCTGAGCTAGGTAGGTGCCCAAGTACCTTGGACGGCTTCGATGCGTCAAAGGTACCTACCCACGCTACCTATATGGAGTACTGCTTTGCTTTCATAGCTGAGGTACGGATAGCTGCTGCTTCTTACCTGACTATCATTGCTTCTTTCCCTTGTACTGATAATTAAGCAGCCCACCTAAAAATCAAGTCAAATCAAACCTCGTGAACCATGTTATCCGGGGTTGACTCCGGCTCGCTGCTCAGGCTCCAGCTTCCTCATTGCGACCAACACCACCAACTGGCGGTCTGCAAACTTTACCAGCTCAGGACTTGAACCCCAGACGAACATCCCTACGTACACAGAGACTTGCTATTGCACTTCTTCCCACTGTCCTCACGAGGTATGCTGCGCTTGTTCGGGCAATCAACCTTTTTCAGCAGCAAACTCACTTAGGCCGAAACCCAGTAACAATTCACCGATGACGTACGAATGCCTAGCTCGCATCAAGCTCGCCATGGATCACTCCTGCAGGGCCAAACTCATGTTCCAACAAGCTTCTGTCAAGAACAATGCTACTGGCGCGCGTACAGATACCATTCATGTCACAAGATGAAGCAGTCCAACTGGTGCCATGATCCTCTGCCGCCCAAGTCATCGCAATTTCGCATCAACACGTGGTCCCCAGGCCAATCAAGCTCCCTAGCTTAGCTTCAAAACGTTCAACAGGGTTGCTACTGCCACCCAAAAGTCATGCTCTCGAAACGCACCGTTGTTGACTCTTTCTTCTCATACTAGCAATCGCATTTCCCTATGTTTGGAGCGAAACCCCCCCCCCCCCCCAAAACAAATCACTCCGGGCATTGGTCTCGAAATAAGCGGCATTCAAAAGTGTTTTCACTAGGAACATGATCCTGGCATTGGCCCTGAGGCTTTCCAGTAGCTCGGGACCCGGAAGGGTGCCGGTCAGCTTTGGTCGGCACTGGCACGCAGATCTAGCCTCGATATTCCACCAACCTGGGTTATCATACAAGATGCGCCGTCTACAGGAATTCCATCCGGTATCTTGCCCACTTCACGGCGGAGACAAACGATATGCATCGTGTATTTCTGGACGGTTACGGCATTCTCATTCGCAGCGTCCGAACTCCCTAGGCATCCGACAACGCACCGGCCTCAACTCGGACTATTGGGCCCTGGTTCGAATAAACTTCTGTCAAAAATTGGGCACGGTTCATTGAGAAATTGCCTGGTCATCTCTCATCCCAAGCCCTTCTCTACCTGAGGAAACAATGAAGAGGTGGCACCGATATCTTCAGCTCCAATGAAAACCCCCTTCGGGTACACCACACCGCACTACTTGACCCTTTCCTCCGTTTCACGATGGAAACAACTCATCGTCCGACTTTCTGACACGAAGGATCAGCAAGCGGCGCCGACACGGATCGCAGTGGAAATAACATCGTCGACTAAACTGTGGCCGAGTTCTTGGCATCTCTCCACTAGAGGACCCTTGTCTTGGGCCACGTTCCTGCGCTTTGGCTATGCATATCCGTATTTGACCTTCGTTATTCGGACAAGTGCCTCCATCAAACTATAGTTCATTGCTAGCGACCAGATCCGGAATCATTCAACATCACCTGATGACGATAACCCGGCATTCGCTTTCCTTCACGATCTCGTCAGCAACCCGACTTCAAGTCAGTGCAATACGATGGCGCTCGCGGTAGCCGGCCGTTTTTCTTTTCTTTTTTGCTTTTCCAGGTCTGCAGCGGGAGAACAGCATGGCCGATAAGCGGGCCGATTGTGGCATTGGCCTTCTCAATAGACTGAAAATGCCAGCCACGGCTTGGCGACGGCGTCGTCCAGCGAACAGTACCCGCTTCAATTGGTTTTACGGGCTGCTGCTATTCCGAAACCATCGTGTATGTGCTGGTATGACATGCTCTCGGTCAATATTCTCTGTGAGGGCCGGCAATCTGCGAAAAAGTTACATATCAGGTTGGAGGACTCAAGCTTTTACTCTTGGTGGTAAGAGTACCTATGCTCAGGTCGCAAGTCACACGTCTGGCCCGGCTCGGCTCCGAATTGGAGTTACCAATGTCGAAATAGCCAGCTCCGGATCATCAGCCTTCATTCACAAACGTGCAGCTGTAGCGTCGCAGAATGACTTGTGTGCCTCCAACAGGTTAACAACTACGGATACTTTTGATGGAGGGTAGCTTGTGGGGCTCGTGCGCGGCAGTTCAGGGTGCCGCCAGCAACACACTCGAGGGATGCGTGGCTGCATCGCCAAGCTGCATGGTATGGCAAGACAACCCTTCGTAAAACCCAGCGTAGGGTTACATGGAAGGCGATACGAGGACAAGACATGCAGACATGCAGCAAGCTGCACAAGTGAACAACAACATCATCACCACTGCGGCACCTTTCTCTCGTGATACCTCACCGAGTCTTATAAGCCGTGTTTTGCATAAAGACCTCGCTGCGCTGGGAGCCGCGCCTCTCTGCGATATACGGATTGCGGTGAGAATGGTGAAGCCAAAGGATGGAGTGAGAAAAGCAACGAGGCTATCTTGGCGCACGATTCAGTTTGTCTAGATGGCAAGCAAAATTTCTCTCTAAGGCAAGGCAGGCAGTGCTACCGTCAACCCAGACAATTGTGCTCTCTTGGTCAGAATCAAAGTCCAGAGCCTAGGGTCTAGGGGTGGGACGCCGCGGTTCTATTCCCTGGGTGCGCCCATTGAGGAGATCGCGCCATGGCCAAATCCAGCGTGTGTTGCAGGAGCGTTGGAAGATAAGACGACGCTTGGCGGACCATTTGCTGATCATGCCCGATAGAATTGATTCTGCCATTAGTTGGATTTGACAACCTCCCTGGAGAATCGAGTCTTCCGGTTTCGTCTGCATCTGCAGCGTTTGTTCATTAACCGCCTGGATATCACTCACTGCCGAGAGCCGCCGATCTTCCTTCTTCTTTGTCTCTGATTATTCCTTTTCCATTACTTTTTCTCCGTCTACTTACTTGCTTACTAGGCATGATTTGATGGTGGTTCCAAGACCCAGGCGAGCCCACGAGCCAACCTCACCATGCTCGATGGCTGGGATATCTTGAGGCTTCAGATGGCGCGGTCGAACTTCTCGCCTGTCGGTCTATCCGTACCCAGCGTGCCAGCCGTCGTCTGGGGTTGGAAAGCTGGGGGAGACTGGGGGACGCGAGACTGGGGGGGAGACGGTGACCCGAAGGAACGTGGCATCACCTCCACACCCTCCCGGAGTCGATACCAACAACCTCAACCCACGGCTCAGAAGACAGAAACCACGCCGTCCTACTCGGTTGTGCGGCGCACATGGAGCCACCGTGCATATCGAGCTTGTCATGGAACTAGTCCCATCCCCCCTTTATCCCCTTCCTCTCCCGCAGCAGACTTGTTTCTAGCCTCCAGTCCTGACACTTGCAAGAAGCGCAACACAGGCTGCTCTACGGTCACTAATGCCCGCTTACACCCTTCGATACACATCAGAAGCATGTTCAGATCACATTGCACAAGGCAGGTTGGCTATTGCCCTACCCTCCGACCCTGCTCTCATACAGAGGACGGATGGATAAGGGTTGTCGAAGTTTCAGAACAGACAGCGCCACCGATGTCCGAAGAAGTGGTCGAGGTCCTTGAGAAGTGAGGAGAAGGGAGAAGGAAGCCGGCTCCGTGTGGTGTCGGTGAAGCGTGCGAACGCCCGGAGACAGTCCCAAAGCGGCATCCGATCACTGGTCCAGTGTAACTCGGATGACCAACAAGGCGTCTAACATGTCGAGCCATACCGCGTTGGTCCGGTCGGTTCATCCAAAGGGTAGGCTCAAGCACCACGGCCATGCTACCTTATTTTATTTTTTTTCTCCCCTCCAATCCCCCTGTCACCTTCTTTTTGGTAGTATGGTTTTTCTTTGCAGGTCACGATCTTGGTCGAATAAGGAATGGTTCGGGTTCGTTGGTAGTGGTGGTGGTCTCCCGGCACCCCAGTTCATGCGCCCTTACTCGCCCACAGGCTGAGGCCGAGATTTAAGGAAATCACATCGGACTAGTACGGAGAAGTCGGCTACCTATTCGCACAGCAGTTGGTCGTCACGCTGAACTTGTTCATATGGACATACGCAGGGTTGATTGGTGCCGCCGAGAGAAGAAAAAGGGACAGGGAAGGGGAAGGAAAGGAAAGAAAAGAGAGGTCTGAAGGTGGTATGCAGGTTTGATAGCTTGTCCCATGCGCCGCGTGCCGACTGGCACAGAGGAAGGTGGGCAACCGTCAGAGAACTAACTGCCCAGGGCCCCCAAGTCCACATCCTCGCTGCGCAAGGCAAGGTACAAGTCCGTCAGTCAGGTAAGGTAAGGTTACTAAGGATAGTAAGGCGAGGTGGGCAGGCTAAATGTCCATATCCCCGTCCCACAGCTCAGTGAGGTAAGGCGAGGGATCTTTTGAAGCCTGGTACCTGAAGCCAAACAAGCGGCGCGATGCTTGAATGCGTGATAGAGGCAGTTGCATTTCCCAACCCCCACCTGCTTTAACTGCAATACCAAAATGGCTCCAGACCAGAAAATGCAAACTAAACGTCTCCAAGCATCAAGCCGTTAACTCGTGCTGCGCATGCTTGCTGTATGGACTAGGAATTTATGGTATCCCCTGAGTCTCCGAGTACTTACCTGCCTTTGGTCTAAATGGATGCAAATGGTCTCCAATCCAACCCCCATCCATTCATTCCCATCCACACCGGACCAGAACCAGAACCAGTCCTTCAAGCCATCAAATACCATCAGAGGTGTCTAAAAATGCGACCTATGGAACACTCGTGTCCTCCAAGACATCCGTGAACCCCCCTTGTGGTTTTTAATTCTGCACCTTCCCACACCCCCTCGCAAGCCTTCTCTTTCTCTCTCTTCTCGCTACTACGTATTTCTCCCTCTCAGTCACTTTCTTGACTCTTCAGCCCTCTCAAGTCTCTCAATCCTGTCTCTCATCTCTTTCCTCGGTCTTTCGCTAGATCGCCCTCACATTTCTCACACACGCACACCACATAAAGTCAAGTGTGTTGTCTCTCCAATCCTTCCTGCGCCAGCCACTACCACGACCACAAAAATCCACCCCTCTGTCGTCCGAGTTCAGCCAGACCGGGCTCCCGTCCCATTCTCTGTCTCGCCGTCACCACACGCGCATACGGAGAGGAAGAAGAGAGAGAGGGAAATAGTACGCTTGGTGGCAGGTCTGAAGTTTGTCCCCGTGAGGTACATATTGTCTGGGACCCTACGAGACTAACGACGCACACCACCACCAACATCTCTCCTCCATCTTTTCCGCCTCTTGCTGTCTCTTGTCTCTCTGTTACTGTTACTTGTCTCTGTTTAATCGACCTCTGCGTACCTCACCTCTCTCTCACTCACACCCACGCCTCGCCCAACCTAATTCACCACCTCCAACCGCACTCCGGCACGCACACAGGCACGCACCAATAGCCCAAAACGCAGGTCCAACGCCTTGGACGTTCCCAACAGCCGACAGGACGACAGGACCCTGGACGCGAAGGAAGAGCTCTCCGACCCACTTCACCTGCCTTGGTCCAGACAGTGGTGCATTCGCTCGCTTCAACCTTGAATGAGCCCGCGTGCTGCTGCTTGCTTGCCCGGTTCCCGCGTCCCGGTCGTATGACATATACATAAACCAGACCCCCCGAGACCGCTGTTTGATCCAAAGCGCATTCGAATTTCCGCCGTAGACCCTCCTCATCTTTCTCTCTCGCAGAGTCGCATTCGACCGACGGTCACGTCCAAGGAAAGCCTTTTACTTTTTTTGTGGCAGCGGATGTTACCTACATGAATACCCCTGCCAGGAAACAAACAACCTTAACTACCCGACTCGACTTGCTCTGACGATCAACCCACCCCCGCGTTCCCAGTCCACCCAGTCACCAGGGCATCTCTATCCAAGTATAAGGCGCCCTCCGTACGGAAACGCTCTTTGCGACTGCGTCGTTTCCCACGGATTGGTTCAGCGGAACGCACATTGCACCACTTTTACGTTTGCACGATTTTTTCAAGAGTTCATTCTTCAATTGGAAACTTGACCCGAGGTACTGGTAGCTTCCAGTCAACGATCGACATGTTATACAACATGAGCTACCCTCGTGATCAGCCGACGGCGGCGGCAGCTCAGCCCATCAAGCCAATTGCCCCTCCTCGGCCGAGACAGCGGTGCTCGCAGCCGATGCCCTTTGACCCCGAGGAACTGTCTCAGAAGCTCGTCAAAGTCCTTGCCGATCAGAAGCTTCACGCCGAGAAGAGAAGGAGAGCCAGAGCAGATGCCGCCGCGCCGTCAGCACCGGTGGCGGCAGTTCCAGTTCTCAACGGGCTACAGGATGGCCACCCACAGCATACCAGCTTGGCTAGAGAATGTCTCGAGCAAGGATCACACAAGCCAGGCCAGGCCAATACTATCAGACCCGCGCCGCTCGCTGCCAAGCCGACCAAGGAGAGAGTGGACTCTGGCAGCTCTATCAGACCCAAGTCGAAGACGTCTGACGGGGACACACGCAGCTCCAAGTCTGGCGGGAAGGACTCGTCTTCAAAAAGCAAAGGCTCCGACGGCGACAGGCATCCCTTTATCCCACAGTTCGCCGCGGCGCAGTTCTCACGCACAACGACGACCGAGCCGTCAGACAGCAAGGGTCTCGTCCGCAAGCTGTCGAGGACGGCCCTCAGGCTTGCCCAAGGTCATCGCGAGAGGCACCAGGACCGCGCCCCCATCACTCACGAACAGATCCCGGAAATGGCTGAGCTGAGCAGTCCGCGCGCGCACCGCGATCGCAACCACCACAGGCACACCATTGAGGGACCGCTGGGCGTTGGGCGGGCCGGCGAGACGGATCACACAAGATCTGCCAGGCGGGCGACGACTGGCGACATTCTCCTTCCCTTTGAGTCTGGTGCCTCTTCACCGTATCATCTTGATGATCCCGAAGCGGCGGATCGCAATCCTTATGAGCACCGCGTGGACTGGACTCAAAGCGACGAAGCGCAGCCGCAGCCAAAGACCAAGCCGTCATTGCGCAAGGCGGACTCCATATGGGCTCTGAAGCATAAGCTCGGGGCCCTTACCAGACACGGGCGGGAAGAAAACCACTCCCGGGACAACAGCCCACCGTCTGACACCGCCTTGAGGTCGCCCAAGAGCGGATTCTTTGCGCGATTCAAAGTCAACCACTGAGCTCTGCAAATACGCCAAGGGAATAATAATAGAACCCTTACCTGATGATCGATACCATCTAAGCATACACAGTGCTTTCACAGCACACTCGATCGAACGTCTGTGTGCGCCTTATCCAACACAAAAGGGCCGCCGCATTATACCCGCAGGCGCCCCGCTCTAATCATACCTATACCAATACCAACCCAAAACGTCCTCACCCGCAGTCCTCCGTCATGAGGCGCCTAATCAGCTCGGCATCCTTGTCAGCCGCCTGTTTCCGGAACACCTCCTCGGTCTCGGCTGCTGCGCTCGCCTGCGACATGAGGTGGTTGATGAGCTCAACATACTCCCTCACGCCCTCGCCGTCCTCGCCGTCGGCGACCCTGGCCCTCCGCAGAGCCTCTTTTCCCTTGCGGATCCCGACGTCGTGCGTCCACTGCTCCTTCTTCGGGTTCGCGGCCGCCAACGCCCGCGCCTTCATCATGTCGTTGAGACTGCTGCCCGTCGACTGCAGCTCAGGCGGCGGCTCCGTGGCGGCGAAGATGTCGAGTAGTCGCGCTTGTAGTGTCGGGTACCGCCGGAAGAGGTAACGGAGCTGATCCGAGTCGTCTAGGACGCTAAAGGGGTTCCTTGGGTCGTACACGGCAGTGACGGCGGCGCTCAGTGCGGGGGGCTCGATGGCGGCTGGTTCAGGCTTCGGCGCCGGTTCGGGATCGGGCGGGTGGTTCTCGCGGTGCGTTTTATTACACGGGACGGAACAGCTGGAGGAGACTACAAGTTAGTAAAACATAATGTATATAATGAACACAACACCACGTATAATGAAGAACGAAGGTACTTTTGAAACGAGGCAAGACTTTGAGAGCAACAGCCGTGGAAAAAGTAACGTACAATGGTAATGCGCAGCGCGTGCACTTGTATTTTCCCTCCTTTTCGTGACACACTCCGCACATTTTGGTCTTTGGTGCGGCGGCCGGAGGAGGCTGTGTTGTTTCTGATGTCTCGGCTGGCGCTGCTCTCGGGGGTTGTGTCGTTTGCGCCGAGGGAGCTGCTGCTGCTGCTGCTGCTGTTGCTGCTGCTGAACTGTCGCCGACATCCCGCTCGCCCTCGCCTTCACCAGCCGTCAGGGACGCATTCGCCATCGCCGCCGTCGTAGCCCGCGTCTTTGCCTCGCTGTCGTCGTCATCGTCGTCTTCGTCTTGCGAGGGGCTTGCGGCGCGGGAGCGTTTCGAGGCGGGAGGGTGGGCTTCGGGGTCGGTTGCTAGGTCGTCTTGTGCGGCGCGTTTGGGGGATGTTGGGGGGCCATTGTTGGATGAGTCGTCTGGGATTGACATCTTTGTGGGAGGAGGAGGAGGGAGGGAGGGAGGGTAGATGAGCCTTGCTGGGCGAGGCTCGTGGTTGTCGTTTACTTGGTGGTTCTGGAGGGGAGGAGGTTTCGCTTCGATCACGGTTCACTTGGAGGGGAGGAGGCTAGGCGAGGAGGGAGTGGTGGGTGGTATGAAGGCGGGGGTGTATTCACTTCATGAAAGCGAGTGTCGTAGAGTGGCTTTGCTGGAAAATTCTCCTTCTCGGTCGTGGCGTGTAGATGTTGTAGTGTCGTCTATTCCGGAGAAAAAAAAAGAAGTAAATAGAGTGCTGACTACAGACAAGGGGTACGGGGTACGCAGACAACGTCAAGTCCTTTGCGGTTCAGGGTAGGTGGTCAAGGATCGAGATAACGTAGGTTGTTGGTCGTTTTAGTACCTAGAACCCCGCGTTCACTTTTTCCGTTTCTTTTTTCTTTTTTTCTTTCTTTTTTTTTTCTGCCAGTTGAGAAGACGGATTTTCCTCTGCTATGGGCCCTTTTTTCGAAACGTTTTTTTTTTCTGCCGTCTTGTCTGTTTAACGACTTTCCAGCGGGGGCGTTTCCTCCATAACACCTAGACCTCAGCAAAGCGGGCGGTGAACGACCGCTTGACCGCCAAAATACCTACCTACCTAAGCTATCCGAGCTCCCCACAAAAGGACTTGCGGTTCGAATCGGGAATTCAACGGACCAACCCGAGGGGTTTTTCTTCCTGCGTCATTCTTACCAGCTGTCCGAACCCCCCCCCCCCACCCGGCACTGGGCCACAGCCAGTCATGCCCCAAAACTGACCAATTCCTGTAGAGACCTCAGTGATTGGTAATGCAACGCCTCGGAATTGAGCGGCGACTGCGAAAAAAGTGGAAGCTTTTCAACCATTTTCCTCGCGCTGTAATTTGCTCGAAAAATAAAGGTCCGTCACCGGATGTAATGCCGAGGTGAGGAAGAGCAGCCCTTTGTAAATTTGTATGTCTGAATAATCCAACATTTTGACATTACATCTTCCACCTACCTACCTACATTCTACAACTCTTCTTCGCTCTTGATCTACGCAACCACCTCCGCCCCCCCCAGCATTGCATATCCAGTCAACAACGACGACAGCGACGCATATCGGATTGAAAAGCACACGACGACACCGCAGCCCGATCGTCAAACACATCGCCATCGCCACAATGTCATCGTACAGAGCAACGAGGACGGCCCTCCGCGCCGTCGCGCGCACATCGAGGCCCGCCACCAGACCCTCACAATCGCGATCCTTCGCCAGCGTCCACGCCCCCTCAAGCGCAGGCTTCCTACACCAGAACCACCAAACATCACAACGCCGCCCGACAGCAACAACAAGCCGGCAACAGCAGCAGCAAAGACAATCCCCCTTTGCCGCCCGCACCGGCGCCGTCCGCACAATCTTCATCCAGACCGAAAACACACCCAACCCAGACGCCGTCAAATTCCTCCCGAACCACCGCATCCTCCCCGACACCCTCTCCACCCCCTTCATCGAGTACCTCAACCCCCGTTCGACCATCGCGCCGCCCTACCCCTCCCCGCTCGCCGCCCAGCTCATGAACATTGACGGCGTCACCTCGGTCTTTTACGGCGTCGACTTCATCACCGTCAACAAATCCCCCGACGCGAACTGGGCGCACATCCGCCCCGAAATTTTCGCCCTCATCACAGAGGCAATCACCTCGGGCCAGACCATCGTCACTGTCTCGGCGGACAAGGAGGGCGGCGCGGGCGCGGCGGCCGACGGCGGCGCCCCCGAGGAGCCCGACAGTCTCGCCTACGATGAGAACGATAGCGAGGTCGTCGGTATGATCAAGGAGCTGCTTGAGACGAGGATACGGCCTGCTATCCAGGAGGACGGTGGCGATATCGAGTTCCGCGGGTTCACGGACGAGGGTACTGTGCTGCTGAAGCTCCGCGGCGCGTGCCGGACGTGCGATTCTAGCACCGTGACGTTGAAGAATGGTATCGAGAGCATGTTGATGCATTATGTAAGTTGACTCCAATACTTTTGGTTCTTTGGGGATTTCCTAGGAATCTTCGCCTGAGCAACCATTGGAAATACGTGCTGACATTTGCATATTTAGATCGAGGAGGTCAAGTCCGTCGAGCAGATTCTCGATCAAGAGGAGGAAATCGCCAACCTAGAGTTTGCAAAGTTTGAGGAGAAGCTCAAGTCCCAAAAGGGACCCGAGGCGACCGCTGCATAGAGGTCTACGGATAGTATATCAGAATGCTTTATGAGGAGAATTGTGTAGAAGTGTTTCCTGAACACTTTGAGAATGACGAGTCGACAAGATTATTGAGGAGGGCCCACGATACCTGTAGAACTGCTGTACAATTACAAAAAACGTTTCACCCGGCCTCAACCCGGTGACGTAGAGAATACCCACTACAAAGACCGTCCACTGCCGTTCCCTCGTTTGCATCGCAGCCTCGCCTACGTAGCCTCGCCTGGTTAAGGTGAGCACTGGCAATGACCTGGCCCGAGACCTACCTCGCAAATCCGCGATCGCTCAGCCTCGTGTTCGGTCGGATGCGATACCTCACTAATCCGGGGCTGAGGTTCGCCGCCTCGAAGAAAAAAAGGAGAAAAAAGATCAAGTCCCGAGCCGAGGCCGGTCCAGGTCCAGATGGATGACGATCTGGGCGAGCCTATGAGGGCCTTTTACACACAACCCTACCACAGACAGCGTCAAGTCAATTTGTAGAATTCAGACCATGCCATCGGCAATGCGGGAAAAGATCGACCATGGTCTGCCAGACAGCCGCGTTCGAGACCAATGTCCGTCGCAGCGAACTGGGCAGGGTTGGCGGAGGGTTTTCCCTATTGCCCTCGTCCTGATTGGACTCTGGCTCCAACCAAGGGTTGCTGCAGCGGATCAGGGCGGGGAGCCGGGGGTGGTTGCTGCCGTGCAGGAACCCCTCAACGAAACCCCTCAAATCCTGGCGTCCTGGCGTCCTGGCGTCCCTACGGTTCAATATCTCAGAAATCCAGAGTGTACTCCGTAGTTCAAGCCCCTTTCAAGTTCCATCCCGCTTCAAAACGGCCATCTCCGGCTTGTTTCCCACCCCTCTTTCTCTCCTTCAAACAGGGCCCAGGAGGTCGTCGGCCCACCAACTTCCTGGCTCGTCTTTTCTGCTCGGTCAAGTTTAGGTTCCTTGACTTCCGCTGATCTCGTGCCGCATCTCCTCATCATCATGCCAGTCTGCCGGGTGCATGCCTGTCCCGTCTCTGCCTCCGCACCGAGTACCACCGGTGTCCTCAGAAAGCGACTGACAAGCCCCTGTTGACGTTGTTGAAATACCGCAATACACTACACAATGAGTTGCGAAGAGCCAGCCTTGGTACTGATTGCTGACTTACAATTTGAGGCAGGCCAGATGCAGGAGCGGAACGTTTGCGGTTGCGGTCGCGCCGGGTGGGCTAGAAGAGGGTCGATCTTGGAGACCCTGAGTATCCGTCTTTAGTTGCAGTAGCGCCGCTTGGGCAGCAACTTGGAAGAAACTCAACACTCCAAGGTCAAACTTCCAGATGATTCCCTTCGAGATCCGTGTAGGTGCTCTCAGGTTGTAAATGTTTGACGTCCGCTCAGACGTTTTCTGGTGGCTTTTTGACTTCTGGCTCCCTGGGGAGCCGTTGCAGCAGCCGCCTACGGTTGAGTTTAATGACAAGATGAGAATCCGGGGTAAAGCCCCCTGGCTAATTTTGACTTTCGCCCTCCATCGGCTCGGGGGGGGTGTCGTCGATCTCCAGTGACGGTGCGGTACGTTGCGTTTCGGTGCCGTCTTTGATGGTCGCATTCGCAGGCCATCAAATCACCCTGTCGATTGCAGAAGAAAGGCATCTCTCGTCACCTGTATGCGTGATATAGGTTGGGTTGCTTAGTCTCAAGCTCGGCGCATCTTCCAAAACTGATGCGTGACGCTCACACTCACTTTCTCCAGGGTGTAGTTGTTAGACAAGCTGCAGACAAGAGCAGAAGCAATGAACGGCGAGAGGAAACCCTTCCAATGACATATATTGCTATGTTCTCCCCACAGCTGATCAATGGAATCGGGATGCACGATTCTGCGCATAGAGTGCGTCGACTAGAGGCGGAAACTTTCCCATGGTCGCATTTATCTCAAAGACGCACCAGACAGTGTCCTCGCCCACCGGTTGCCGGCAGTACGTTCCTTCATCGTCGTCGATACAGCTTACCTGGATTAATATCTGATTCGATATTGAGAGCTCCGAACCGTGCCATATGCCCAGAGTCCGGATGATGCCACTGTGAGGTCAGTGAGACAGTCCAATCGAAGAAACCTTTGAAGATGAAGGAGGTTAGCTTGAGATGGGCGCGCGTGACATGCTGCAGCAGCCCGTTTACTCCACAGATCCTTACCCCTCTCGGTCTCGGAGAAGTGCCCTGAACCCAGACCTTCATCGCCAAACCTTCTGCCTGCATCTGCACATGCATCTCTCTGTCTCTAGTGGTTGCTCCCTTTGACATCAGAGATGGCAGTGATGGTCTCCTCTAGATCATTGACCGATGTTTCCCAGTACAAAAGCTGGTCCGTCATTTCGTGATTAGTCGTATTCCATCTCTGTCGGTAGTAGTGGTCGTGGCTCCAGACTTCCTGCAACATGGCGCCTGAGACCATGTTTCCTCTTCACTGGCTACTCGTGGAAGAGAGTCTCAGCAAAAGTTGAGGCGTCTCATACTGACATCGGCTGGTGTAGACTGGAAAACGTTTCCTTGTGCCTTGTCTTGTCACCTTGTTTGTAACGTAACGAGAGCCCACGGACATTTGCAGAACATGGATGTAGTGCGGGGTGGTGAGGGATGAGCACCGATGGCAAGCTGCAGAATTCCAGCCACCCTTGCAACTTCAACGGCAAACCTCCAAACCTTCCAGGCGTGCCAGGGAAACCGCCATGCGAACATCAACCATGGCTCCCGCTGCCGTAGTGTTCCCGGACACGATGGCGGCGCGTGCTTCACATTGCGTTCAAGAAACAGACGTGTTTGGATCACGACTGTGTCTCACGTACGTCCGCGGCCTCGGCCAAGCAGAAGAAGGGTGAGACCCTGCAACGGCGAGACCACCAAATGTGCTTGGGCACTTGGGACGATGGATGCAATCAACCGGTTGGCTGGCTCTACTTGCTGGTGGTTCAAATATGCTCCTCCTGGTTGTAGCGCTATGCCACTGCTGACCGAAGTTGGACCTGGCCATTTGTTGATCAAGGGGCGAAAAGCCGCTAAAGGTTGGAGGATCGGCGATGGGCGAATGGGCTCAGCCTGTTGCAGCCGCATGGAGGTCAGATGGCCACTCCATGCCCGAAGGCTGAGGGAAAGCATGTCAGAAGAAAGCTGTAGTAGGTATTGACGGCATCGTCGGGACCATTACGAGGGCAGATATCCATGTCGGTGATCCGGGGAAGTTTGTTCCTCGCCCACACTGGTCTTCCTTGGTGTTTCGATAGTTTCGTTGAGTGATAGTCGCACCTTTAGAAGTTGTTCTTAGCGCTCAATCCGGATTCCCCACCACGGAAGATCGGTGGGCCGAAGGGAAATATTGGATGTGCAAACATGAATGTAGCGTCGGGACCTGCAAAAACGATTACCTACTACAAGGTGATGTATGGAGTAATACGCCGCGCTGGCGAAAATCTGAGGTGTACGGAGTACGGAGTATGGGTATGCCGCTGTCGACTGGGGTACATGGGCGCAAGATGCAGACGTATCACACAACGTCTTCTCTGCAGGCATTGCATGTCATGAGCGGGGCGGTGGTGATTAGGGAGATTTGGAGTCGTAGGACTCGGAAGAATCTTACGCGAGAGTGCCATCATTTGCTGCAGACGCGGATGAAGGAGTGGCCATGAGAGACGGCAGTGCAGCCTACTTTGTTCGGGAAGCTTCTTGATCGTCGAGGCTGGTCTTGACCGGGAACGGAATAACGAGGTGCTAGTATGGATACGATGTCGTTGTATCCGGTGTCTGCCATTGCCGCGATTTGTCGCCCGAGTCTATGTCGAAATCTCGGCCGGAGCGCAACGAAGTAGAGAATTTGATGGATATGTAGTTATGCAGACCGAGGTAGCATCGATGTACAAACAGAGATTCAGTCATGAACTAGCGAGCAACCTAAGGTAGCAATGAAAGAGGCAGCGCACTGAGGTGGGAACAAGACTGTCGATTCGGATGTACGGGGAGGAGCCAAGACGTCGCGAGAGGCTCCCATGTACTTCGCAGGTAGTCACGTATCTGTAGTGTGCATGCCAATACTAGGTATGAACACCTATTCATTTTGGGTGCCTTGCTTCCATTTCGATTTCATCTGTCTTATCAGAGGGGAAGCAGAGACTATACTCCGTACTCCGTACTCCTCCAGGCTCTATTTCCCCGCTTCCTTCCCTCTTGGTCCCGAAACTCACGATCTGTCGAGGCAGCTCCCAGTTGCTGTTGGGTGAACAAAGAAGCAACGACCTGGAGGACATTGGTCTGAGATGGTTGGTCACTTGCAGACGGGCGGCCCCACTAGCCAGGATCCCTGAGCCCTGACAGGCCCGGCCTGGCCTGTCTAGCCCGCCCATCCCTGTGTTTCCTGTGTTCTGACTGGCAGTGGTAGTGGACGAAAAATGGGGTTTTACCTGGAGAACAGTGTGGGGAATCGGGAAGATGCTGGGCAGTACGTACCTGTGGGTGACCGAGGACGGTTAGCTCGGATCCACCGCTTTAGACGGGCACTTTGGCCACACTGTGCCGCCAGAGTCTACTACGTAGAGAAGACAGGCATGGCAGGCACCTCCGTCCAGCCTGTCTGTCTCCTGCCTGTCCGACGACATTGCGTTTTGGAGACTTCCTTCTAGACCGAGTGCGTGAGATCTCTTCCTTCCAGCTTTACCTATCAATAATAACGGATACGAAAAGAGGAAAACCTCAACTTGGCACACCACTCACTCATATGAGGCATGATTCACAAAAGTTACACTTCTTTTGTCTTTCGAGCTAACATTGCTATAGCTGCCATCCTTTTTACATCTTTTCCATTTTCGGCCTGCTACTCTCAGGACCCCGTTCTCTTGCACCAAGTACCTGCATACCCGTTCTCTGTACGAAAATACCAATGGAAAAGTACAGCACCACACCCATCGCAACCCGGATTTTTCTAGCAACAATTCTTGGATAACTTCCTCCCATCTTTCCATTTTTTTTTC